CTGCTCGCGTGACGCTGGGGGAAAAGCAGCAATGTTTACGCGTGCGTACACTTTGGACGATTAAAATGAATAAAAACCTCTTTTTGAAGGAACTTAAAGTTATAATGACGATCTTTCCCTACCGTCTGCTCGTGCCGAGCTGCGACAGAAGCGTGCAGGTCGGTGCAGTTTGTACACCAGCGAAGCGAGGTTTCTTGGTGCAAATTAACCATCATGATGGTAGTGTGCTATGTGCCTTTCTTCGAATCAAGGCAAGAGAAGACTCCTGATGTGACTTTTCATGAGTTTCCAGTGACCGAGGTCCATGAAAAATGGATCGAGGTGATTTCTGTGTTGTAAAAGACTACGCGTCTCTAAAGTAGTGAGTTGCTGGGCTGGTCGGTGGTGCATGGCCGACTGAGACGCATATTAGCGCAAAATAATAATAATGAACTGGCAACCTCAAGAAGGTAAACAGCGAGGCGCTATACTCACAACTATTAGACAAAAAAAAAGAAGGAAAGACAACATGAGTGCATATATGGAAACCATGTCACTACATGTGGTTATTCAACTAGGTTTTGAAACACACCCATTGTGTGAAGAATTAGCGTAGAATAAGTGATTTTACGTGCTGTTTCATTTCAAAATAGTTGCAGAGTGTCTATCATTGATTATTCATGTACCTGCGATCTACAGTTGCCATTTAAGACGAAGGTATTTATGCGCGAAATTGTCTGTATTGGGTTGTTTTCTATGCGCGCCAGATGCGGCGTACACTGTCAAATGTCATAGTCCTTGTCCTTTCTTGTCCAGACAGTAAATGCAAGCCAGCTGAGTGTAATACAACGACAACAAGTCTACCATTGTATACACATATAGCTGGTATCATGACTTAAATAAATATTTGGTGGCCAGCGCTTTTTACAACCTGTCTACGTCGTCATTCTTTCTTATTTTGCACGCTGAGACATGTGTTTGTACCTGATTTGCAATTCACTCATACAACCCACACATTCTCAAGCATTCATCGGGGCTCAGCTGGGGTAACTCGAGCGGTCCCTAGGCCGCGAAGTTCGGAATCCTAGCCGGTGCAGGCAGCTCCGTAGAGCGTCCCCAGCTGGGCAGGTCAAGAGTTTAGTAGGTCGTGCCCTCGTGTGACCTGGAAGCGCTGGTTTCGAGGCTACGGTGTCACTGCGATCGTGCGTTACGGATCTTAGTTGGGCAAATGCTATTCTAAAACACATATGGTGCCCGTAACGTTCGCAGCGCTTGCAAACGGTATTCTAAAGCTCCCTATTTTCAGGCGCGCACCGTGCTGCGTTGCTTTGACGCATGCGCGTTTCAGCGCGTACGGCGTTCCTCCGTCACGAAAAGAGGTAGAAGCAATTCAATCCATCAGGTCGAAATCAGCGCCAGTTGCCGTCGGGCCGCGACGCCAAATTCCCTCTCTCTCTACGCCAAATTCAATGCATTCTCTTGGGCCTAAAAGGCGCCATGAGAAGTGCACAGTGATTGGATGTTGCCCCTGCTAACGAGACCTAAATTTGGAACATCACTATAAAACTGAAGATAAACTTGTAGATCCTTACCATATGTGAAGAAACGAAAAATACCACATATATTATTACAATACAGGAAGAAAGAACAGAACATCAGATAATTAATTGGTGAATCTGAGCTGGTATTTTAGTTGATAATATGCAAAGTGAAAAAATGTAGTTGAGGGTTGGTCTGTGAATAGTTAGAGAAATTGAATAAATATTGTTACGCTGCATCATCGAAGATAAACAAGCGTGGCTATCGACGAAGATGACGAAGACGCCTGTGCGTTAAGCACTTGCGCGAGAGGCATTGGAGTATTCTGCCCTCAATTTTACTGGTATTTTTGGTTACGACTGCAGGATTTTATCCCAGTTTTTATAGCTGAATTTATGGCCATAATATTAGCTCTTAAAAATTACCTAGTTAAAATACAGTAGTAGCAATCATCAGTGACTCATTATCTGTGTGTTCTTTTCTCTCTGCATCTGGTGAAACGCCTCTTCTAAAGCTTTTCAGAATCCTAGTTCCCGCAGACCTTCAATGTCTCCACTTAATTTGGGTACCAGGACACAAGGGCTTGTTTATAATCGAAAGCGCTGATTCTTTAGCAAAGGCGGCGCTTTGTTTCCAATTATTTTAAAGTCCCTGAAAAATAAACATAAGTAGCGCCAACCGCACCCCTTCGCCTCTACCTCCTCTCCCAGCAGCCACAGCAGCGGCTCTAGAGTGTCCACCAGGAAACTACGAATGCGAAAGCACTCGGACGCACTGGATGTGCCAGACGCTTGGGTAGCTCGGGCACTGCTGCGCCGTGCGTTTTTCATCGAGCGGCCGTGTCTCGGGTATGCTGAATGGGTACGCCGGTGGCGGCTGTTCGGGGAGCGCGCGCTCGCTTCATAGAAGCAAAGTCTACGGCGGCCATCGTTCCGAGATTCTTCATCGCTGCCCCAGCGTGTGTGCGGCGTTGCCAGTATTTCGTATTCGGTACACTTCCTTTGCATTTCATTCGTCGCTCAACAGTTCTTTGTATCGTTAGTGTGGTGACATTACTCGTTCATTCGTTGGTTTATTCGAAGGAATAGAAAGCTAGCTACCCCTCGCAAAAGAGGCAATGGATCGTTGTACGTTTTCAAAGCAAGCGTTTTGTGCGAAGAAGCCAACCTTTCTACTGTAGAAAAAACTACGAAAGCAACTATGACTTTGGCACGCTTTTCCTTACCGTCGGTACCGAAAGCTTTAAAAGGTCGCCGCAGCAATATTTAATACAGGGCCGTGCGCAGCCGAAGGAAAGACTCAGATATACGTTGCCGGCGCGGGGCCGACCAGTTCGAGTTCACCGTCAATTGCATGAAGCGACTGCGTGGGCGAGTTAGGCCATGTGATACTACTGCAAAGTGCTGACGAAATCAGGTCACATGGTCATGCGGATTCTTTCTTCGGTCTGTGAGGTTATATGCTGCTCGCATTATCCAATGTACAGTAATTTAAACAACTGCTGCACATCGTGTGCGTATATTGATAGACGTGGCTTGTTACAGTCCGCATAGAAGGTATATTGATATGTAAACTAGTGTAAAACTGGGTGATTGATATTGATTGATATGTGGGGTTTAACGTCCCAAAACCACTATATGATTATGAGAGACGCCGTAGTGGAGGGCTCCGGAAATTTTGACCACCTGGGGTTCTTTAACGTGCACCCAAATCTGAGCACACGGGCCTACAACATTTCCGCCTCCATCGGAAATGCAGCCGCCGCAGCCGGGATTCGAACCCGCGCCCTGCGGGTCAGCAGCCGAGTACCTTAGCCACTAGACCACCGCGGCGGGGCGTAAAACTGGGTGAGTTCGCTCATATAGGAAAACAAAGAAAGCACAGCTGAGTAGGCAATAGAGCCCATAGAAGTATTACGTAAGACAGGCGGTAAACAAACGAAATACTATCTGAAGAATACAAAAAAAGGTAGCATTCGCACATTCATAGTGGTTTTTAGCATCTCTCTCTAGCAGCTGAATGCGCAACCCAACAAATAAAACATATATGAAGACTGAACTTTGTCCTTTTTCCTGCATTTCTCTTCTACCTGCCAACGTGTTTGAGAGTTTAACCTCCTCGACAGGACCTAAAAATCTGCATAGAAAGGGTGCATGCAGCCCAACCATACTAACATTTGCGATTGCTGTAAAACATATTCCAATTGGAGACTTGCAGTTGTTAGTCCAGCATGTGTCCAATGAAATTTTCTACCAATGTTCTCGTCCATGCCTTTATTCATTTAATAGGTGTGTTAAAATACAATCAATAAAAATGAGTAAGGATAGCTTGCTCCATAAAGAATAACGCATCTCAAGCTACTTGGTTTTTATTATAAGGTACAAACAGCTCGCATTTCACAAGGACAGAGGTTGGGGTAGTGTGATAATGTGCATAATGTTTCTCCTCTGTGTTCTGGTGAGGTCCATACCGTTTGTGTCCAGTGTTACATGAAGTTTCTTCTTTGCACATATGATTGTCCCCATTGTTTAAGCAGAATACATCTCTCTTAGAATAATGTTTTACACTTACATACCGGCTCTAGGCCACTCAACATCCATCACACCTCGGTCTTCCCTGGCATGAATACATAAGAATGACTGCGTCTGGGAAGGCAGTATTGAGTACACACGTGTACTTGGGATCTTTATGGCATGACATGTTTATGCATATGCCATCATAATAGCATGCAATATGTCGAGTGAACAAAAGGGCCTGGTATTCATAGGAAACCCCATTCCATAATGTCACTTTATTGATAAACACCAAAGTTCAAGTACAGTTGATTCTATGCAAAAACTGAATGAAGGGCACAAAACATGACATTTATTCAACATTTCATGAAAATGCAGGACTGCCTCAATATACATGATAATTATGCTGTGTACACAACAAATGACATGAAATATGTGTTAACGGTGACTTGTTGCTATACGTGCAGATCACAATGACAAGAGTAAAGAAAAACGATGGCATTCGTGGTGCACTCACAACTAGCGACAAGTGGACGCAATTTGTGCCAAACACCTTTATCAAGATTTACACTCCACATGTGGAATTTAGCGAATGAAATGAAGTGCACATATTGAACTTTTGAAAGCACAGGAGTAGGAAGTAGATATGGAAAGCCCCTACTGGGGATATGCAAAACATATTATGCAGATATGTAGGCATGAAACAGGACATACACGTAAAAGACATCATGAAACAGGTGTAATAGGCACAGCAAAACCACGAACCTAATCATAGACTGGTGAGGATAACAACAGCTCTATCTGAAGAGAAGAAGAGCGAAATTAGCCACTAAAATAGAGGCCAACCCAGATGTAGTTGGAATAAAAACACACGAGCGTATCATTGCCCTCAACAACAAATGCAAAGCTGTAAAATCATAAGACAACAATAGATTCAGCCTCAAGACAACAAGAGAAAAATCTGCCACAGGCCAACCTAGCAGAAGTCAAAATAAAAATACACGAGCTTAGAATTGCGTTTGGCAAGAAATGCAAAGCAAAGAGAGGAAAAACGAGAAAACAGACACAGAGGCAATGAACAAAACCATTACTACACTGACATCTGAAGCAGAAATTTAAGGCGGTAAACCACCCAGGCAGAAAGTAAGCGAAATTTCCCGAGTGACGAGAAACATAATGAAAAACAGGGACACTTGACACAGAATATTAAAAATAGGCTTAGCTAAGTTAACAAAGCTTCTCATCAAGAACTCTAGTCACACAGAATTACAACCTAAATGAGATCGAAACACCACCCAATCTACTTAAAGGGAACTGCTTATAAAGGACCAAAATGTACACACTGAAACAAACAGGGTAAACGTGTTAGAAATTTCAATGACATTATGACGGCAACTGAAAACATCTGCTCTGAACTGTACGGATCAAAGATAAGTAATTAGTTTTGAAATGAAATCACAATAGGACAAAACACTGCAGTTTCTCATGTACGGTACTTGGGGGTTCAAACGCAACATCAATTTTTTGGGGATAACTGGTATGCACACCTGCTCGAAATAACCACGTCATGTGATAAATATAGTCTCTAAGAATAATTTTGGCTCTTATATACACGTTCTAGTCGAAATTACGCCAATATGACCCGAACTTAACGCAGTGTCAACAAAAGTATGTGCGTTACTGAGACCATAATTCCTGCATTTCAATCCGTGAGTACTGTACCTACAGACTAGGTTAAGAGGCCATACTACATATGCATCATAGAAAAACGGAGGGAAAACACGAAAGAAATGAGGCATACACACTATTTTACATTGGTTGTAGCAGCCTGCTTTCCAATGCTACGACTACCAGTTTTTGCATCTTTAGCTTCATCAGCTGCCAAATGCATAATCTCTTTCCGCAGAAGAATGTTAATTCTGGTTTTAAAAAATGCTCTCAGCAACCTCTCCTGAATGTTGTGGCAAGGTGGAAAACAATTGACAGCTTGCACACTGTCATTAGTGGTGGCCACAAGTTGACCAATCGTAACTTCATTGCACAGAAGCTTGTTGCTATTCACTCTAAACATATATTCGAGCAAATGAAGTACTGCTGGCCCTGGTGATACGAGCTTGCTGTCATCAGTGTAGGATTTTAACTTTGTGAGCACACTAGCTTCGTTCGACACTGTGGCAGTTTTGCACTGCTCACAAATCCCTGTGTGCTTTGCAACACTCTTTACCACAAACCCAGCAAGGTAAATAAAAGACTCATGCTCCATCATGCTTATGTCGAGAAGATCACTGGGCTATTCAACAGCTTCTGTATCATTGCTGTTAGGAGCTCTTGCGTGGCAATTTTCGATGCCAACTAGGGAAGGCTGTGGTGACTAGTCAGATTGTGCATTTGGAACAGAGTATCCTGGCTGCTGAGCAGTTCATCCTTGTTCAGCCTGTATCAAACAGCAGCATAGAGGAGGGAGCCTGTGGACAACCTGACGAAGTGGACATGTCGCCTGACACACCGAGTGCTCACCAGGCGAGCGGGGCTGCAAGTGCAGAAAGCACCCAGAGTGGTGGAAGCTTGCGCACAGTTGATGTGTCCAAAGTTGTACGCAGCCTCTTGAACTGCACTTTGGGCCAGTCACATTTGAGCCAGCAAGATTGCACGCTGCAGGCTCCTTCAAAAAACACAGTATTAGATGAAGTGCAAACTGAGTCTGCCATTGAAGACTCTGCTGTCGTGGTGGGTGTTCTAGCAGCACCTTTTGAGGTGTTCTCTGAGCCCACCGAGACAGGAGTGCTTGCCTGTGGTGCACCTCTGCCACCAAACGATGATGCTCCTGAAGAGGGTGACAACGATGAGAACCGGCTGCCAGGAGATTGTAGCCCGCCAGAGGTTTCTGTGAAGACAAAGTCACTTCAGCACAGGGTGCCCTTCGCCGAACTGCCCATGGATGAGGATGAAGCTTCAGAGGATGAGGAAGATGACATTGGAGTTCGACCCACTGATGATGATAACTTCACCTATGCACCATCCAAAAGTTTCGTCCTCAAGGTAACCTCGACACCCTGCGCAACTGACCGCACAGTGCCCAAGGTGGGTGAGGACTTCACGGTGGGTGGTTTGACTGCCCTTGTCCAGGATGTTGCCATCAGCGATCCGTCTGCCTTTTCTGCTGCACAGATACTCCCTGTAGAGCTGCTTGCAGAGCCACCTCAACAAGTTGAGCAGCAGAAGCCCAGCCATCCTGGTGTGCCACTTCCTCCTAGTACAGACACTGCTGCACCCCTTGGCACTCGCCGATTCCCCGTTGCGGCTGCTGTGGACTTGAGCACTATCTACGAGTGCAGCAAGGAAGGCAAATCGAGCAGCAACAGTGAAGGCAGCACCTGTTCAAGCAGCTCCTCATCCCACCTTTTGGCGGCTGGGTCCACACTCAGTGTGGACCCAGCCCGACTACAGGTGCTACAGCCCGACTCCGCACAGGTGGCACCCTCCGTGCTGTTCAGGAGGAACCCGACAACGATGGTGGTGTCTCCTTGGTAGCAGCAGCCATGCCAGAGCAGTCCCAGAAACAGGGCGAAGAGGCGGAGCAAGCAGTAAGTGCTGTGGTCTGTGAAGAACCATTTTTAGAGGAGATGCGGAGCATTATCTTGGCATCGTGGCAGCCGCAGAAGAGCGACCAACGAAAGCTGTTTGGAGACCCCTGCAAAGCGTCCAGTGCTCAAGGGGGATGCCCAGATCACTCTGGGGGACCATGAAGTGAAGATGCTTCGCCACCTGGCATCAGGTGCTTATGCACGAGTCTATCTGGCCCAGATGGTGAAAATTGAAGAGACCTATTTGGATGATGATGAAAGCTTTGAATCACCTTCTCAGGTGAAGGTTGTGCTAAAAGTAGACGACAACAATGGAAATGCCTGCTGGGAGTCCTACATATGCTGTGAACTGCACCGGCACCTCAGCGAGACCTCTGGAGCATTCACAAAGTGTGTGGTAGACCTGCAGCTGGCCTGCTTCTTTAGCAATGATGCCATCTCGGTGTTCCCCTACAGCCCCCATGGCACTCTATTAGATCTGGTGACCCAGTTCGAAAAGCATTGTCGCAGCTCCGTACCCGAGTGCTTGGTGCTCTATTTTGCCCTCGAGTTCATCACCATCCTGCAACAAGTGCACTTGTGTGGCATCATTCACGCAGACATAAAGCCTGACAACGTCCTCATCATAGACCTTCCGAGCAAGGCAGGCTTCCTGGACAGCTTTTCCCCGCAGGGGCGCCTGCGCAAGTAGGCGTTTGGTGTGTAGCGACACCACGGACCCGAGCTAACGGGGGAGTTTCTACTCCCTCCCACGCCTAGCCGTGCGTGGCTTTGTCGTGTCCGGGGAAAAAGGAATCCTGGGGGTTGAGCCGACGCTGGGTGATTGGACCTTTAAGGCCCCCCGGCAGAGGCAACACACCCCTTTAGCCCCGGCTTCACGTAGACGGCACCCCTGGGCTGACCCACCCAGAGGAAATTGGCAGTCGCCTTTTCCTATCTCTCTCTCCCCCACATCTTCGTCTTTTCTCCTTTTTAAATCTATCCTGTCCTCTAATTTCTTCTGTTACTTCCCCATTTTCATGGGCGGCTTGGGTTAACCTTGTGCAACTAGCCAACCTTGGCCTACGCGCATTAGGTTATCGTAGCGGTATACGGCTGGCGTCTGCATGTTTCTCGTTTCATGAACCTTGTAGCGTCCCCTCGTTGGGCTCCGTGGTTGGTGGCTGCCATCGTTACTGAATTACATTCCTCTATCATGCACAGAAGTTTTCCACTCCTCAATGATCGTGCCGCTTCAAAGCGCGTACGCACCGAAGAATTTTCCTTTTTCAGCCGACCCAAAGAAGTATTCCCTCGTTATCATGTTGTACACAGTGAGAAGCCCAACAAAACAGCCAGAACAGTGTCCCCGTTCATAGTATCGCGGTCCCTGACAGCCACATTAGGTGATGGCTACAAAGTTACAAAAATCGCTAGTGGTGACCTTTTAGAACTCCGTGACAAAACGCAGTTTGACAAACTAAAGAACCTTGCAACATTCGGCGACATCCCCATTAGCGTAACACCTCATCGATCCATGAACTCTGCACGTGGAGTTGTTTCTGACACAGACCTCCTTGACCTGACGGAGGCTGAACTCCTCGAGGGCTGGAAAGAACAGAATGTGACCAACGTGAAGCGAATTACTATCCGAAGGAACAATCAGGAAACCCCCACGAAACACTTGGTACTGACCTTTGCCACCAGTGAACTACCACAAACAATAGAAACTGGCTATACAAAGACATCGATCAGACCCTACATACTAAACCCCCGCCGATGTTACCAGTGTCAAAGGTTCGGCCATGACTCTCAGAGCTGTCGTGGTCGACCTGCTTGTGCCAAATGCGGTGCCCAAGGCCACATCTCTGACAATTGTAATGAAACCCTACATTGTGTAAACTGTAACGGAGACCACGCATCATACTCATGTTCTTGTCCTCAGTGGAAAAAGGAAAAAGACATTATTACACTGAAGATTCGCGAAAATATCTCCTTCAAGGAAGCACGCCGAAGGTGTTCGGCTTTTCACGGCACAACTTACGCTGATGCGGCGCGTCAGGGGGCAGCGTCGCATCACCCTCCGCCACTACCTAGGCCCACGCAAAGTGAGCCATCGGGTGTGGTGGCCGCCCCCATGGTGGAAGCAGCCAAGCCTGCTCCACCTACCAAGCCAGAGACTCAGGTGACTCCAGGGTCGTCGGGTCGACCAACCACGTCTCACCAGGCGAGGTCGCAAATACGCAGCAGCAGCTCGCGTACGCGGGCGTCCAGTGCTTCACGTGAGGCAATGGAAACAAACACGGTACCTCAGGTGCCGGAAACGCGGCGTGGCTCCAAAGAGCGCGCTAAAAAAACCAGAAACCAATAACAGGGCCCGACAACGGCCCTGCTACTTAAGTTACAACTTCCCACTTGAACAGCCACTTCATTTTCGTACACACAGCACCACTTTCAATCAAATATGGAAACACAGATTCTACAATGGAATGTCAGTGAATGTGTAGAAAAACTTCTACACATTCACTCACCAAAAGTGCTCTGTGTACAGGAAACACACTTAAAATCTAAACATACCAACTTTCTACGCAGTTACATTATTTTCCGAAAAGACCGTGATGATGCCGTGGCATCATCTGGAGGTGTAGCTGTTATAGTTAAGCAAGGTTTAGCATGTAAATACTTGAAACTCCAAACGTCTCTTGAGGCAGTGGCTGTACGAGTGGTGCTTCTAGGCAGACTTGTCACCATTTGCTCTATATACATACCTCCACGTATTCAACTACGCAAACATGAATTCCAGTCTTTGATGGATGAACTTCCCGAACCCTATCTTGTTCTCGGGGACTTTAATGCACATAACACGCTATGGGGCGACTCTCGTTGTGACGCCCGAGGTCGACTGATTGAACAGTTTCTTCTCTCTTCAAGCGTGTGTCTCCTGAATCGGAAAGAACCAACCTATTATAACCTCGCTAACAATACCTATTTCTCAATAGACCTGAGCATAGTATCTCCATCGCTTGTGCCTCTACTTCACTGGAAAGTCATCAGAAATCCCTACAGAAGTGACCATTTTCCCGTAGTTTTGAGCACACCTACATCAACTGAATGCCCGCCCCAGGTTCCAAAATGGCTATTAAGCAAAGCCAACTGGGAACAGTTTTCATACCATCACACATATAAATTGGCGCGACATATGCACTTTAGACATTGATGCGGCTGTCGACTACTTTACAGCATCGCTGATCGATGCAGCAACAAAAAGCATACCACAAACGAATGGACACCATCGAAAACGACGTGTGCCATGGTGGAACTCAGAGTGCCAAAATGCACGCAGGCAGCAAAACAAAGCATGGAGGGTGCTTCGGAACTCACCGACAGCCGAAAATATTGCCACTTTTAAGAAAATGAAATCTCAGGCCAGGAGAACGCGTCGGCAGGCCAGAAGAGAAAGCTGGCACAAGTTTTTATCGGGGATTAATTCTTATACCCAGGAGGCTAAAGTCTGGAACATGGTTGGTAAAGTAGCAGGAAGACAAGTGCATTCACTCCCACTCGTGAACACGCAGGGTGACAGCCTGGAAGATCAGGCGAACTTCCTCGGTGCACACTTCGAGCAGGTCTCTAGCTCGTCACACTATTCTGAAGCTTTTCTAAGATATAAAGCAAAAATCGAAAAGCAGAAACTGGAATACAAGTGTACAAAATACGAGGCATACAACCGACCTTTCAACTTAGCTGAGCTACAAACATCACTAAATTCCTACAGTAATTCTGCCCCAGGCCACGACCATGTCATGTACGAAACGTTGAAAAACCTGCCGCTTGAAACGCGAAAAACTTTACTCTCCCTATACAATGCTATCTGGCTTTCTGGCACCATACCTACTTCCTGGAAAGAAGCCATTGTTATCCCTATTTTGAAACAGGGCAAGGACCCTTCCTCTGTTTCAAGTTATAGGCCAATTGCACTAATCAGCTGCCTTTGTAAACTTTTTGAGAAAATGATAAACCGCCGACTTTTATATTTCCTTGAAACGCACAATCTGCTTGACCAATATCAATGTGGGTTTTGAGAGGGTATATCTACCACCGACCATCTGGTGCGTATCGAGGCACAGATCCGAGACGCTTTCGTCCAGAAACAATACTCTCTTTCTGTGTTTCTCGATATCGAAAAGGCTTACGACACAACAAGGCGTTTTGGAATATTAAGAGACTTGTCTCACCTAGGTGTGCTTGGTAGAATGCTTTCCATAATTGAGAGTTACTTGTCCAATCGGACATTCCGTGTCCGTGTGGGCAGTGTTCTCTCCCAAACATTTGTCCAGGAAACAGGCGTGCCACAAGGTGGTGCGCTTAGTTGCACACTTTTTATTATTAAAATGAATTCCTTGCACTTGTACATTCCCCGCAATATGTTCTATTGTACATATGTCGACGACGTTCAGCTTGGCTTCAAGTCATGCAACTTGGCCATGTGTGAGCGGCAGGTTCACCTGGGTTTAAATAATGTCTCCAAATGGGCAGATGAAAACGGATTTCGACTTAATCCCCAAAAAAGCACGTGTGTCTTGTTCTCTCGAAAGAGAGGCATGCACTCGGAACCTGACATTCAACTGAACGGGCAACGTCTGTCCGTCAAAGCTGAGCATAAATTCTTAGGCTTAATCTTGGACAACAAGTTGACCTTCGTACCCCACATAAAGTATTTAAAAACAAAATGTTTAAAAGCCATGAATGTTATAAAAGTGTTGTCACGTACTACGTGGGGTAGTGACAGGAAATGCCTCATGAACCTGCATAGAAGCCTTATTCGCACCCGCTTAGATTATGGGGCCATTGTTTATCAGTCTGCAACTCAAAGTGCTTTGAAGATGCTGGATCCCGTGCACCATTCGGGCATCCGCCTTTCTACGGTTGCTTTTCGCACCAGCCCCGTAGAAAGCCTTTACGTTGAGTCAAATGAGTGGTCGCTTCATCTGCAGAGAATTTACATGTCCTTTGTTTATTTCCATAAGGTGAAAACGGATAAGAAGCACCCCTCATACTCTACTCTTAATGATTTGTCGAGCTCAATTCTGTTTCAAAACAGGCCTTCAATGAGACAGCCCTTCTCAGTTCGCCTGAAAAGTCTAGCTGAGGAAACTGGAGTCCCACTTGAACACAGTTTAATGGCTCCTGTAGCATACCCGCTACCGTGGCAGTGGCAGATTATAGATTGCGATGTGTCTTTCCTAGAAGTTACTAAACATGCGCTTATTGCCTATATTCGAACATACTTCTTGGAACTTCAACACAAATACACACGTCGTGAGTTTTTTACAGATGCCTCTAAGTCTAACTCCTCTGCGTCCTACGCTGCTGTTGCCCTTCCTTTTCGGATGCTGGCCCTTTACATCCAGGCATAAGTATCTTCACAGCAGAAGCTTACGCTTTCTTGTGGCAGCTAAACACATCAAACAATCACAAATACAAAAAGCAGTAATCTATACAGACTCCCTCAGTGTGGTAAAGGCTCTGCACAGTCTTAAAAAACAAAAAAACCCTGTCCTCGTTTCACTTTACTTCATTTTATGCACACTCTACACACTCAACCGACATGTTGTTGTGTGCTGGGTGCCAGGGCACCGTGAGATTCAAGGCAACATGATGGCAAATCAGCTTGCTGCATCCGCCCACGAAAGCACCGCCATTA